AAGCACTGGGGAAGAGAGGTGCATGAAACCAGTGTATGCTGGTAAATGTTTAACAAAAGCTACACTGGAGGGGAAAAAAAAATCTCCTAATCTGGACTGTCCACCTATTCTGTTATGTAAATACTCTCCCTGAAACCCATTCAAACAGGAAGGTCACTAAACACACAAATGGGAGCAGACATGCAAATCTCATACCAAAATACAACATTTCTATTCTACAGAGGCCAGAGAAGTAATCACATACAGTAAAATGACCATTTGTCACCTTTGCTTTAACTTTTAAAATAAACTTAAAACTGTGTTTACTTTTATCTTTGATCACACATATGTGGCTATGTGCTCATGTGCTGAGAAGTCAAAGCATAGGTCCTGAAGTGGCAGGTGGTTCTGAAGCTGACTCCGGACTGAGCTCGGGTCCCTTGGAAGAGCAGCAACTGCTCTTAACTGATTTTTTTTTTTTTTCTTTTAGCTGGACTTGATGGCACACGCCTTTAATCTCCAGCACTTGGGAGGCAGAGGCAGGTGGATCTCTGTGAGTTTGAGGCCAGCCTGGTCTACAGAGCGAGTTCCAGGACAACTAAATCTGTTACACAGAGAAACACTGTCTCAGAAAAAAAAAACCCCGCCAACCCCCCCCAAACTCATTCCTGTTTGCTGTCCTTTCTATAAGCCTCCTCCACCCATGAAGTAAAGAGTGCAGAGTCTCACAAGGTTTGAGTCCAACTTTCTCTCCAGGAGTCTATTTCTTCGTGTCTCGTCTGAGTCTTAGAGCAGGTGTTCTCAAATCCTAGAAGCTCTTGTGCCCCATCCCACAGTGGTGTTGAGAGCGCCCAAGAGCGGGCCCTAAGGAGGGGGGGGTCAGTGAGAGCAGGCCAGGCCATGAGAGCAGAGAGCAGACTCCAGAACCTGATTCTAACTGGCTGTTGATTCAGAATAGTGTCACACATTCCAGATCAAATTTCAGCTGGGAAAAAAAAAAAAAAAATTGGTTCTGTGCCAAAAAAACAAACAGTAAAAATGAACTTTTTTTTTTTTAAGTCAGGGTCTCACTATCTAATTCTGGCTGTCCTGGAACTCCATATGTACTCTTGAATTCACAGAGTACCCCTGCCTCTGATCGGGGCATTTGCCTCCATGCCACTGGAAGTGCTACTTAGGGTCTTGCCCATGCTGGGCAGGCACTCTGCCACTGAATTACATCTCCAACCCAATTAATGTTTTTCTTGATGAATGACTTTTGTAAAAGATTGTGTGTGTGTGTGTGTGTAGGTGCCTGAGGAGTCTGGAGGCTTTGGCTGCCTCTAGAGCTGGAGTTATAGGCAGTTGTGAGCCTCCTGGTCTGGGTGCTGGGAACTGAACCTGGGTCCTCTGTGACAGTAGCTTGCACTTTTGACTGCAGAGCCATCCCTCCAGCTCCATAGACCCCTCCCTTTTTGAGGCAGGGTTCTCACTACGTAGCACTGATGAGCCTCAAACTCCAAGCATCCTCCTGCATCGACCTCATGAGTGCTGGGATAACTGGTGTTCACTGCTACTCACATCTGGATAATGAGCTGTTCCAGTTCAATATGGCTTAATGAGCCATCTTAAATCAGTGTGCTGCTTTTGTTTACTTTAACTGATGGCTTATTGGGTCCTTGTGATGTACAGGGGATTAGAGATGGACAAGACAGACTACCCATCTCTGGAAAGCTTCTGCATTAGAGTAGGGATGGTGGTTATGTGAGTGCAGGTAGTAAGGCATGCCTTTCTTTCCCCTCATCCGTCATTTGAGTTTATATCAGATATAAAGTACCTGAAACATCCTCTCCCCTTCAGCTGACTGGGTTCTGTTGCTCTCTAGGAGTACACAGGTGACTCAGGTGTGGCTAACAAGCACACGGTAACTCTTCGCCAAGGTGGTTGGTTCAGGTCTAGTCAGCCCTCTGGCCATAGCGGTTTGTTTGGGATACTTGAATGATCTCAAATGGCCGAGCATGAATCCAGACATGAGCAGAACCTCAAGCAATAGATGTTCTTTTCTTTTTAAGTTGAATTTAAGTCTGAAAAGATGTAGTCCCAGATTTTTTGGCAGCAATCTTATGCTATGCTGTGGAGGGTAAGGTCATTATGAAGGAAAGTAGAACAAAACTTTGTGTGTGTGTGTGTGTGTGTTACAAAACAAAATCTTTGTGATTCTAGATGCCTAGGTCAAAACCTCACCTAAAGCCTGAGCCCTGCACTTACCAGGTGTATAGCCAGCGTTCTCCACGGTTTGCTGAAGTGATTTTTAAGTGTACTTTCTAACAGACTATTGCATCATTGGCTGCCGCACACTGCTTCTGAGTTGGCTGCCCTGCAAGCTGGCTCCTGCCATCTGCTCTGTAACAGTCCCACCCCGTCTCAAACTCTACCCAGCCAGTTCTGAAGCTTCCAGGAGACCCTGTGTGGTTGGCCAGTGAGCCATTCCCCTACCATTCCCTTCTGTCTCCCTGAGCACTGGGAGGGAGCTCTGTTCCTGAGAACCCTGGGCTCTGTACCCAGCAAGCAGCAGAAAGATGGCCAGTTCTTACACTGGCTTTTTGTTTTTTCATTTGTTTGTGTTTTGAGACAGAATTTCTCTGTGTTACAACCTTGGCTGTCCTGGAACTCAGTTTGTGGACCAGGCTGACCTCAAACCCACAGATATGTATGTCTGCCACTGCCTCCTGAGTGCTGGGATTAAAGGTGTGCACCATGCCCGTTGCAGTCCTCACAGTCTTAAGACACTTAGGAGCAGAAGCTGCTTGCATCTGAGGGTCCAGTGGTCAGGGACCTGCTCTTTAGTCTTTGTAGCTCTTATAATGCACATGCCCTGGAGGAGCTCACTTTCATCACCTCCCCCATACGATTGTCATGGCAACAGAGACTCCAATATCCTCATAGAATAGACTAGAAAGTTCAGTGGTTGGACCAGGGTTCTGTGGTCCAATAGGGAAGTAACTGAACTTTCAAGACCCTCCTAAGCCCTTTTTATGAATCGAGGCCCCTGAGGATGGAGAGGTAAGCCATGCAGGGGAGCCTACACCCGAGAGATACAGTCAACTGTAGGAAGTTGTAGTTTAAGAGATGGGACTTGGGCGGTTTCAAGTCAGGCTAGAACCAGTGAGCCATTCCTGTGACTAGGATTTTCCAAGTTCCAGGACGCCAGTCTAACAGGTGGGGGCTGCTGCCGGGGAGGGGATTTGGGGACCCACCCCAAGTTCAGGTGAGCTAATCGAGCTAGAAAGGTGGAAGTTCTCAGGCCATGTTTGAGTGGTTTAGGGTGCCTCTGGCTCTGAAACTGTCGACCCAGATTGGCTTGACGCCCGGGTACGGGCCGGGCCTTTAGCGGGGGTGGAAGAGGAGGGTGCCGCGCCCTGCCCGGCCCAGGTGTCGTCTCCGGGGGCGGGGTTTGGGAACCGGGCAGCTGGGGAGATTCCCGGCTGCACTGGTGGGAGGTTGGCCGTCGAGGGACCAGAGCCCCAGGAGGGACCAGAGCCCCAGGAGCGCGAGCGCAGGGAGCGCACTGAGCAAGGGACTGCAAGCATGTTCTCTCGAAACCATCGCAGCCGGGTCACAGTGGCCAGGGGCTCCGCCCTGGAGATGGAGTTCAAACGCGGCCGCTTCCGACTCAGTGTCTTCAGCGACCCACCGGAGGTGAGAGGCTGAGTCCCTGCCTTTCCCTCCCAGCCCTGGCTGGTGGCCCTGGCCGCCCTGCCTCTTGGGCGCGGCGCGATCTGGATCCATTCTAGCTTAAGTTGTTAACTTAGAAAGCTAGATGCGGACAGGGTGAGGCTTGGGCGCGGCGCGATCTGGATCCATTCTAGCTTAAGATGTTAACTTAGAAAGCTAGATGTGGACAGGGTGAGGGTCCATCCAGTCTGTGCAAGCTCACGCATTGCCTGGTTGGAGTAATTTGCCTCTGACTGGAAAGGTCCCTATTGGCTTCAATGTGAGGGGCTCTGAACTCCATTCCAAAACTTGTGTCTGACCTAAGTCTCTCCAACATCCCTGGCCACGGGCATTGGGCAGCTAGGCATCCTCCAGTACTTGTATCCTTGGCTTGGGTTCCAGATGGTCACCAGCTGCCAGGAGCATCCCACACTTTGTGTCGACCTCCTAGGCCAGCTCACATTGTCTCCACAGTTCTGTGACTTATCCGAATCCCTTCCAGTGCCACTGTTACTCCTGAAGAGCAACAAGTTTCTCAGTTACCCCAACTCTCTCTCTCTCTCTCTCTCTCTCTCTCTCTCTCTCTCTCTCTATGTGTGTGTATGTGTGTGTGCGCGCGCTATATGTTTTAACTCTGGAGTGCTTTCCCACACCCAAACTTTCCACCATCCTGCTTGGGCCTGAGAGGAATCCAGCCTCTAACTTGAGAGTCTCCAGCTGCAGCTGCAGCTGCAGCCGCCGCAGCAGGGTACCTACCCCTGTCTGCACGTTCTGAGCCCTGGGCTTAAGTCCAGTTTACAGGTATAGGAGGCACATGGCTGGAGTCAGAAATGAGAGACACTTAGCCACCCCAAAGAGACTTATGTCCCCCCAAGGTCAGCTTCCCACATGCTCAATCAAGGAGGTCCCAGTTCGATGTCTCCATTGCTCACATGCCTGGGAAGAGTTAAATGGGGTGGTTCACACACACACACACACACACACACACACACACACACACACACACCCCGGATTCCAGGCCTGGCTTTTGCCCTTTCCCTTTAGGCCTAGAACAAAGGCTCTTTCACACCCGTGTCCCGCTGTCCCAGGCTTTCTCTGAGTCAGAAGCCAGCGGAGAGGTTTTGTTTCCCTCCCACCCCAGCTACTTAGACTCAAGGAACCCGCGCGTGGCCAGCGTGGGGGGAGCCGGCCGAGAAGGAAGGGCCTGTGATCCTGAGCAGCGCTAGGATCTGCCAGGCCTGGGGGCCAGAGCTGAGTAGTCGGGGCGGAGCTGCAGGGCCAGGCCTGCCGCGCCGAGTAGAGTGTGACTCCATAGGCTCAGGGGGGTGGGGGTGGGGGGGCAGCCCTGCAGCTGGCTGGGACCCGGGGCTGGTTTCCTGTCTGGAAGGGAAGGGGCCCCCAGAGGGGAGCAGGGCCAAGAGCAGCCAGGCACACCCCTGCCTTTCTCCCTCTCTCGCCTCCCTTCTGCTGGAAAAGCGAGGTAATTGTGAGCCCAGGGTGGGGCGTGCTGGATGGGGGCCGGCGTAGGAAGGGGTGACCCTGGGTCTGGGCCGCATTACAGACTCACCCCTTTGTCCCATTCCCTGGGCTCAAGGGCTCCTCGAGTCCTCACTTCTGTCGCTAACTTTCTCAAACTAAGCCAGAACTCCCCTGGTCGATCCTGATCTCCCGACAAGCACTAAGGATTCCGTAGAATCTGCAGGGGGCGCCCCTCCCCTGCCCCCTCCCAGCTGCGCCTGCCCCTCACTGCCCTCTCCGCACGCACATTCTCTCTGTCGCCCAGGCCAGGGATGTGGGCGGGAGCGGGGGGAGGGGCCAAAATGGGAATGAAAGGGCCTTTTACTTCCACAGCTGGGAGACCAGCTGCCACCAAAGCAAGGCTGGACGCTGTGCCCAGAGCCCCCTCCGCAGCTGGCCTCTCCTTCCACGACCCCTGCTTATTCTCACCTTACTTTTTCCCCGTCCTCTGCCTGGCTCCTACCAAGGCCTTGGAACAGCACTAGGAGAGGAAATTTTGTCTCAGAAGCCAGAGGGGTCTAGCAGGACCGCAGAGGGACAGGGACAGCCTCTACATTCTGTCCTAGAGCTGGCAACCTCTCTCAAGCCCAGAGAGCAGTGGGAGGAGGAACGGGGACAGCGTGCTGCCTACCTGGCCTCTCTCTGGGCAGCAAGGGAAGGGGCTCTAGGGGACACAGAGATGCAGGACAGATTGCACATCCTGGAGGACCTCAATATGCTCTACATCCGGCAGATGGCACTCAGCCTGGAGGTAATGCCCTGACCCCTGAACCATACTCTTCTGTCTCAGCCTTAATGGGACCGATTGCGTGTGCTGGGGGGGGGGGCGGTATAGCCTGGATAGGAGGGGCGGCAGGTGGTTTTGTGTTGAGTGACATTTGTGGACCCCGCCCAGGACCCAGCCCACTTCTGCTGACCAGAATGCCCCATTACACTGACTGGGCTGGGGATGAGACTCCGCTGGTAGAGTGCGCGTTTGATGAGGATAAAGTCCTGGGTCCCCTGAGGCTGCACACGCTGGGGTGCATACCTGCAATCCTAGCCCTTGGGAAGCAGAAGCAAGAGTAAGTTCCAGGCCAGCCTGGGCTAAACCACAAGGCTGACCACAAAGCCACGTGTTGACAGCAGGGTCTTTCCACCTATTTCTGGAAGCTGCGGATGTTTGTTCTGGGGACAACGGTTCCTTTTAGAGATGGAGTGAAGAGGCTTCAGTATGAAGGAGGTTTGTAGGAAGATGGAGCCTGAACAGACGTGAGAGGACAGATTTGTGAGAGTGTGTAGATCAGTGGGCCTGGGGGATTTTGTCCTTTCCTTCCACCATTGTGGACTCTGGGGATTGAACCCGGGTCCTTTGGATTAACTGCAATCACCTTTTTTACCTGTTGATCATCTCACTGGCCTGCTTCTCCTTAAGACAAGCTCTCTGAAACTCACTGTGTAGTTGAGGATGACCTTGGCCTCCCGATCTCCCTACCACCACCTCCCAAGTGCGGGGACTGCAGGCGTGTGTTTAAGGATAAATAAGCCACTATACCCGACTCATTCGTTCCTAAGTGAACTCATTCTATGTGCCCAGCTCCTTTCTAGGCCATGGAAATACCTCTGGGGAAGGCAGAAAAGGTCCTTTCTTGTGAGAGAACAGATAATAACTATGTATGAGTGATGTCACATAGTGAAAACATTATAAAAATAGGATGCAATAACAACCTGGCGGATGGCAGCATTAGGTAAGCCAGTCTGGAAGGGCCTGAAGTTCTGAGACTGGCAAGAAGGCACAGCCAGGGTAAAGAGCCTTTGACGGTGTGTGTGTGTGTGTGTGTGTATGTGTGTGTGTGAGTGTGTGTGTATGTGTGTGTGAGTGTGTGTGTGTGAGTGTGTGTGTGAGAGTGTGTGTATGTGTGTGTATGTGTGTGTGAGTGTGTGTGTGTGTCTGTGTGTGTGAGTGTGTGAGTGTGTGTGTGTATGTGTGTGTATGTGTGTGAGTGTGTGTATGTGTGAGTGTGTGTGTGTATGTGTGTGTGTGACGGTGTGTGTGTATGTGTGTGTGACGGTGTGTGTGTATGTGTGTGTGTGTGAGTGTGAGTGTGTATGTATGTGTGAGTGTGTGTGTGAGTGTGTATGTGTGTATGTGTGTGTGTGAGTGTGTGTGAGTGTGTGTGTATGTGTGTGTATGTGTGTGTGTATGTGTGTGTGTGTGAGTGTGAGTGTGTATGTATGTGTGAGTGTGTGTGAGTGTGTATGTGTGTATGTGTGTGTGAGTGTGTGTGTGTGTGTGTGTGTGTGTGTGTGTGGCGGATGGAGAGAGCCATTGGGGCTGGAATTTGTCATTGCTGGAATTACAAGTGTGCATCACCGAGCTGGCGCTGGGGGTCCAGGGCGAGATGTGGTGCATGCCAGGCAAACACCCAACCAACCAAGTGCATCACCAGCGCCCACCTATCTTGTGCTTGTTTGCTTTTGAGATAGGGTCCCCTCTGTAGTCCTGGTTGGCCTGGAACTGGCTACATAGGCCAGGATAGCCTTTAACTCACAGAGACCCATTTGCCTCTATCTCCTGAGTACTGGATTTGAAGGTGTGTGCCATCACATGACCGTCACACGCCTGAAGTTTTTAAGAGGGTGATTGCTGTGGAGGGTCAGCTTGGTGGTGGTGAGGGCTGGGCCAGAAAAGTTGGCAGGAGAGTGTGCAAGTTCCCCCAGTGGATGGTGAAATATTAACGTAGGGGAATGAATCTGGAGTGTAGATTACGGAGTTCGTGGAAGGGAGGAGATGGATATTCCAGATGATGGTGGTAGATAGATCTGACAGAGCTGGCTGATGGGTTGGACATGGCGAGTGACGCAGAAAGAAAACCTCTAGTCTAGGTGGGTCCAAGTGTGTGGCTAAGTCTCCCGGTGGTGTGGCCCCTTTGCTGAGATGGGCAAAGAGACTGCCTGGGCCTGACCAGGCAGGAGGCTGCAGCTGGAGGAGGTCAGAGGCAGGGATGCAGAGTGTAATCAGGAAGGGTAATTTACTGCTCACATGCTGCCTGCTCAGCCCCTGCCCAATCTCTGGATCAATGGATATTGCTAGCAAGTTATGGCCTAACCCAATTACAGCTGCAGGACCCTTCCTGGAATAGTCTTCTCATGCATTGTGAATGCACTTTTCACATGGTGTGGGCTAGAAAAGGGAAACCATCTATGTCCAGCCTCTGTACCAGGAGGACACACCTCTGTTTACTTGTCTGGAGAGGAGTCCCCTTCTTCTATTTTGTAGATGCCAAGTGGACCCTCTGGGTTTCTGACATTGCCTAATTTTTCTGTGTTTGTGCACAAGAGAAAAACCTATTTACTGGGTGAGGCATGGTGTGGAGGCACCTGCCTATAATCCCAGCACTCAGGAGGCTGAGGAAGGAGTGTTGTGAGTTCAAAGTCAGCCGGGGTTATGGGAGACTATCCCAAATGAAAAAACAGGTAAAGAAACAAACAGAAGAAAACATAAGCAAAATACCCCAAACCTCCTTTCTATCCATCTGGTCTTCATTGCCCCTGCTACTCATTGTATAATTAGTGTTATAATTACTCTTAGTTAATTAAAAGGGGCGTGGGGAGAAACCAGTTTCTTGCTTTATCTAGCCACATTCATCTGCCAGATCCTTGCTGACTGCTTCCATCAACAGAGTTGGTTAGGGTATTCAAATGTTTAAATTCTGCATCCTGTGCACCCCACCTTCATCCTTCACCCCCACCTCACTGTGCATTGGAGAGAGCTTGTGCACGCACACGTGCGCATACACACACACACACACACACACACACATCATTTCTCTCCATGGGAGGCCTGCCTGACATCTGGAACAGAAGAATAACTTTGTTTATACTTCGATCAATTTTCCTTCAGCCACAGGCTGAGAATTCTGTGTAACCTCGTCCCCAGTTCATCTGTCCTAAAAAAGGCAGACTCACTGAAACTCCAGGGCATGGCAGGGCAGTTGGTACTGGGATGTAAATCCAGAGAGACTGTTTGGAGGAGGCGTCCTGAGCTACAAGCTGCAATATAGAAACGAGGGTGAAAGCTTTTATCATCTTCCCCTTTGAACACATGGTTTCTCTGTGTAACAACTTTGTCTGTTGTCTTGGGACTCGATTTGTAGACCAGGCTGGCCCAGAACTCAGAGATCTGCCTGCCTCTGCCACCCTAGTGCTGGGATTAAAGACATGCACCAGCAGGGCCTGGCAAAAGCTTATTTTTATTTAATTACAAAATATGTGTGCGGTAATGGTGGTGCTGGTGTTGGTGTTGGTGTTGGTCGTGAGGATCAGATTCTCTTTTTCAGTGGTGGGATCCAGGGATTGAACTCAGGTCTCAAGCTTGGAGCTTGGCAACAAACAGCTTTAACCACTAAGCCATCTTGCCTGTGTGTGTGTGTGTGTGTGTGTGTGTGTGTGTGTGTGTGTGTGAGAGAGAGAGAGAGAGAGAGAGAGAACCTCCCATGTGTCTGAGGATGACACTGAACTCATGATCCCTGTATCAGCATTACTTCTGTGAGTGGGGTGCTCAGGATGGACCCCAGGGTGTCATGCATGCTAGGCAAGCTCTACCAACTGAGCCACATCCCTGGAGCAAAGCTTGAACATGTGCCAAGAGATTAGATTTTTCTCACTAAATCTTCACTTAATGCTGTGAAGGAAGCCACCTACTCCCAAGTCTGCAGACTGAAGCTCCAGGGACAAAATACCCCCAGCTTATCAAGTCCCTAGATTAGTACTTAGATTTAGCCCTGATGGGAATACTGAAGGGAACAGAAGGTGATGGGAAACAGAACAGGAAGTCAGGGACAGAGTGTGGGGGAGGAGCGTGTCTTCGTGGGCGACTGTGACTCACTCTGTCATCCCTAGGGATCTGACCCAGGTCCCCCAGGTCGGAGGAGCACATTCAGCATTGGGATCTTTCCCATCCTAGGGGAAAGGACAGAACAGTGTCCGTCTGGGGAGAGAGTGAGGGTGGTGGAGAGGAAGGCAGTGGGGGGGGGGTATGGAGAGGGGTGCAAAGCATAAGGACCCCAGCCTCCACCTGAAAGGTGGGAACCCTCTCCCCAGGGCATTCTTGACAGTGGTCTGATCTAGAATGGGTTTGGAAGTCATGTGCACAAGCAGTTAAGTGGCCAGTTGCTCCCAAGTCCAGTTCTGCTGGTCTGTGCTGGATCCAGAGACCTCGCTTCATACCCGCACTCTTCTGGTAAGGGTCACCTTGGAGAGAGAAGTCCGTTAGGGAGAGACCATGGAGTCGCTTCCGTCCTCGGCAGGGTCCCGGTGGTGGAGATGCAGGCATTTGGGAGCCTGCAGGGACCGCTCGCCCGCCCGCTCCCGGCGCCCTCGGCGCCTCTCGCGGCAGCTGGGAGCTGATGTCACTGGCGCCCCCGGGCGCAGCGGACCCAGGCGGTGAGACAGCACCGACTCCCGGGATCCTTCAGTTCCCACGCGGTCCTCAAGTCACGCCGGCCACCGGGGTTGCTGCGGCCGGGACCCCGCGCCAATTGCAAACGCAATGGACAGGGCTAGGGAAGGATCGGTGAGTGCTTGGCCCGAGGGGCCTAGCTAACCAGACTTAAGGACGCACCGTTGAACTCATTCATTTGCGGGACCGGTGACAGGAACGAGGTGCAGAGTCGGGGAGGGGTGGGCAAGCAGTCAGCTTAGCAAAGGCAGAACCCTCATGCATACAAAGCCTGGCTGAGAGAGTAGTTTGGAGAGGTGTTTGAGGTGGTACCGGAGTAGTTTGTAATAAAGTCTGGCCTAGCACAGCAGCTCCCATCTCCCTCCCATCCCTCCCCCCCAAAAAAAAAACCCGATAGGGAAGGAAGACTTGGCAAGCAGGCTGGACAAAGTTTTGGTGAGAAAGAATTCAAGGTGTTAGGAAGGTTGGACACCAGAGACAGAGAAGCCTGACATAGCGTGTGGTCCAGAGCCGCCGGCGTGATGGAGAAGGCAGGTTTGTAGTCAGCCAGCTCTTCCAACTGCGTGCGTGCCTCTACTCGCCCGGGTTCAGGAAGCTTCCTGAACCGGTGTTGTGTGCCTCCACTCTGGAGCCTCCCACTGTCATTTCGGCAGAAACCAGCAGGGGCTGTTTCCTGTGTTTTTCTGCCATGACAAGGCACTTAACAGCGCAGCAGCCATTCATCTTTGCGCGTCCACCTCCCAGCAGGGGCTTAAGTGTGGAGCCTTGGTCGTCAGCACAGGGAAGCCCTGGTGTCCCTGCCATCGTACTGAATACCCTGTACCAGGCAGAGTGTGAATCTCACTCAAGTCTTTCAAACTGAGATGCCATGACTATCTTCACCCCGTGTTGTGTGTCTGTAGTATGTGCTGCATGCTTGCCTATGAGTGTGTGTAGCCTAGGAATCCACTTTAAGTTTTTGCTTGCTTGCTTGCTTGCTTGCTTGCTTGTCTTGGGTGTCTCATTCACTATATGTCCCTGTCTGGTCTGGAACTGGCTGAGTAGACCAGGCTGGCCTCAGACTCTCAGAGATTCTGCTGTTGCTGCCTCTGAGTGCTGGGATTAAAGGTTTGGGTCACCATACTCAGACTTTAATATATCCTTAGTGTGTGTGTGTGTGTGTGTGTGTGTGTGTGTGTGTGTGTGTGTGCTTCTGTATGTGAAGGGGGTGCATACCACAGCATGGTGTCGGGGTCAGAGGAAAACCATATGAAACCCAGGGACAGAACTCGGTTCCTTAGACTTGGTAGCAGTTGCCTTTACCCAGAGAGCCTGTCTCACTGGCCCTCTCCCATATCTTTTGAGACAAGATCTCTCACTGAACCTGATGCAAAGTGTTTTCTAAACTGGCCAGCCATCAGGGATCTCTGCCTGTTTCTGCTCCCCAAGGAGGGGTTAGAGGCCAGTGGTGTGGGTTCTGGGGATCTGAACTCAGGTCATCTTGCTTGCACAGCAGGCATTTTATTCACTGAGCCCTTCTCCCCAGCTCTTTGCCCCCTTTAATTCGTTGGCTCAGGGGGGTGATTTGAAGTGCCATGTTGTGTGGAGGCTCCCTGGGGGGGGTTAGCGGCTGAATTGACCTGTGAGCGGTGCCGGGGTAAAACTCTGACCAGGTACAGTGGCCCAGAAAATAGTCCCTGGAGAGAGGAACTGTAAACAGCAGATATGTAGCCCAGGCTGACTCGGAACTTATGGTAATCCTCCTGTCTCTGCTTCCTGATTGCATGCATCACTCCACCGGCTGCCTAATGCTTTGCATACTTTATTTTACTGTTTTGAAACAGGGTTTCACATAGCCTAAATTGGCCTCATATTCACTATGCTGCCGAGGGTGACCTTGAACATCCTAATGCTCCTGCCTCAGTGCTGGGGACTCAAATCTAGTGCGTTATGCATGCCCAGCTTCCAGCCCAACGCCAATTGCCTTTTAAGCTCCAGGATGCCTTCTTTCTAAGTGACTTTGCCTGTATCCTCTGCCCTCCATGCCTGCCCAGTGCCTCAGAAATGCCTAGCCCCCCCCCAGCTGCTCATCAATCACTTTCCCTTCCTCATTCCTTACCTCTGACCTCCTCTCCTAAGCTCAGGGGACCAGAGGTGGTGGATGTGCTATCTGAGGTGTGCAGATGGGTGGACTCTGCCAGTGGTATGCGTCTGACTGACCCCACAAATCTTTTTTCCATTCCTGACCTCTGGGACCACAACCACATGAATATGTAGATAGATATAATATGCATGCACAAATTTTATATATATATATGTCATGCACACACGTATATGCATATATATATATACACATACATATACACACTCACATATATATATATATATATGACAAATGGTGGTGTGTATATTTTGTTTAAATGAAATGTATTCTAGGCTTGCCACTAATTCACCATGTGGCTGAGGATGGCCTTGAACTCCTCCTGATCCTCCTACCTCTGCCTCCCAAGTTCTGGATTATAAATGTGCACCCCCGTGCCTGACTTAATGTATAATGTTGTTTTGCTTTCTATTCGCATGCTATAATTTCTTTCTTTCCTTCTGTTTTCTTGAGACAGGGTTTCTCTGTGTACCTTGGGAACCTGTCTTGGCACTCACTCTGTAGACCAGGCTGGCCTCGAACTCACAGAGATCCACCTGCTTCTGCCTCCCGAGTGCTGGGACTAAAGATGTGCGCCACCACTGCCCTGCTATCATGTGCTATCTTTTCTGGAGAGTTACATCTATACACAGGTCTCTCAGTCTTTTGTGCTGTTTAGCAGTACAGGTATAATTCATTTAACCGGTGTCTTACTGAGAGGCTTTTTAAAGTTTAAAACAATGCTTGGGGCTGGAGAGAAGGCTCAGAGGTAAACAACCATTGCTGCCCTTCCAGAGAGTCCAAGTTCACTTCCTGGCATCCCTGTGAGATGGTTTGTGACTCCAGCTCCAGGGGATCTGATGCCTTCTTCTGGCCTCTGTGGGCACTGATAAAACGATGCTAAGTGAATCTTATGTACATATGGATTGACAATTATATGTCTAGTTGCATCTATAGGCTAAACACTTGAGTATAGGATAGCTAGGTCAAAGCATATATGAATTTACAGTTTTTGTAGATTTCTCTACATAGTGATCAAAGGCAGAAAGAATTTATCCTCCTTAGGACCAAATGCATGAGAGCATCTGTTGCTTTGCAAAGCCTTTCTGGCTCATCTTGGGGCAGCTGAGGTGAGATGACAGGCTTGCTCTTGACTTTGCTAAAACATTAGTGTCCTTTTCTCCCCCCCCCCAACTTGGGACTGGGGTTGGGGTGGGGGGATGCTTCAGCCTGATCCCTGACTGCCATTTCCTTTTCCCCTTCCCATGACTCTGGTTAGGACACAGAGTTACAGAGGAAACTAGATCACGAGATCCGGATGAGGGAGGGGGCCTGCAAGCTACTGGCAGCCTGCTCCCAGCGTGAGCAGGCTCTGGAGGCCACCAAGAGCCTGCTGGTGTGCAACAGCCGAATTCTCAGCTACATGGGCGAGCTGCAGAGGCGCAAGGAGGCCCAGGTGCTGGGGAAGACAGGCCGAAGGTGAGCAAGGGGAGGGGGCAGTGAGCAAGGGGAGGGGGTGTGTCTGAGGGAGGGAGGGAGGGAGGGAGGGAGGCTTTGTCCATGCTATGGCAAGTGGCTGTGTGGAATGCATCTAGGGTACAGCCAGTGTCTGTGTTGGAGTGTTTGGAGCTCAGATCAACCTCCTGAAGGGGACCTTCTCACAAACACTTGTCCTGCCCATGGAAGACACATTAGTGTTTTACCACAGTGGTGGGTCGTCCAGAGTGGCTGGGGCTGGCTGGATTAGGGAAAGCCAGTGTATCTGATGGAAGCTGGCAGTCCAAACCACAAGCAATGCAAACATGCTAATTTGTTGAGGCCTGCCCATGATCTGCTATGTCTGGCTGGTTTCTGGAAAACTAATTTTCTCAAAGCCAGTTCACCAAACGGCCAATTTGCTGAATGGCCAATTTACCACAAATCGACAATAGCTCGCTATACCTGGGGTTCACCATCAGAGGCAGGAGTTGGGAAAGCGCATAATTAAAAGTCACTTAAAGGAAGGCTTCCCATTCGTAGACATTAGCTGTGCATTCCAAAGGAGCTCAGCATCAGTGTGTGACCTCCACACTGCTAACAGTGCTCTCTGCTGGTCTAACTGGTCAACCCCATCGGAGTCAAGCGAAAATGTTACAGAGGAAACACTTGGTAAATTGGCCGCTCTGAGGACTGGCCATTTTTTGTAAATGTGTCGTTTGGGGACCTGCCTGCCTCACCAAGGCAGGTATGGGAAGAGGGTCCCAGCCCTCAGTGGCATGGCGGAGCTGAAGGAGAGGTTGCCAGGGGCACACAGAAGAAGAAAACCCACTCCCTTGCTGCTGCATCTAGCGAGAGGCCAAACAGACAGGAGGCAGCGCTCAGGTGGCCATGGCCGATCCACCACACAGCCCTTGCAGTGGGAATATGAAGTACATTTAATTCCCTAGCAGCTAATTGTGCCACACTGTGTATGTATATCAAAGATGAGAGCTGGACATGGTGGTCATGCCTGTAGTCCCAGCATGTGGGAGGCTGAGGTAAGATGATTGCTGAGTTTAGGGCCAGCTTGAGCCACAGAGTGAGACCTTCATCACTCTCAATTAAGATGATGGGAATCATCTTACAGCTGCCAAGAAAACCTGCAATCTCTCCAAGCCCCATGGCCGTGTGTGTGTGTGTGTGTGTGTGTGTGTGTGTGTGGCACCTGTTCCCTCAAGGCCACACTTGTCCCTGATGGGGGTCTGGATGGTCAGGAACAATGCTAGGATGGGGAGGAGCCAGAGCTTGTGTGCCACACCTGTGTGTTAACATTGCTCAAATGTCCCTGAGACTAGCGAACTTCGAGTTCTGTCAATAGCTCTTCTCCCGTCTCTTGGTCCTGCCATGCCAACCAGACTAGGAGTCAGGGGCCTCGTAGAGCTCTTAGGAATGAGAACAAAGGAGAGGAGAGTGGGAAGACCAGGCTAGGACTCTGTGATCTGCCCACAGACCTTCGGACAGTGTGCCGCCCCCTGAGCGTTCCCCTTGCCGTGGCCGGGTCTGCATCTCTGGTAAGGAACGCACAGCTGCTGGCACCCCTAACCCCAGCGCACACCCTCCTGCCTGCGTCTAACCCGCTCCTTCCTTCCCGCTCTGCCCTTTAGACCTCCGGATCCCCCTCATGTGGAAGGACACAGAGTATTTCAAGAACAAGGGCGGTGAGTGCTGCGCCCTGGGACGCGTTCAGGGAGAGTTCAGGAGAGGGGGAGGGGCGTGGCAGCGCTGGTGTTTCTATTTCTCTTTATTCCCAGATCTGCACCGCTGGGCTGTGTTCCTGCTGCTGCAGCTCGGCGAACAGATTCAGGACACAGAGATGGTCCTGGTGGACAGGACCCTCCCAGACATCTCTTTTCAGAACAATGTGCTCTTGTGAGTGGCTGGCCTGTGCTTGCTTCCTTCCTGCACCCCTGCTCCAGCCCCTGTGGGCCTGCTCTGGGGCGCGGAGGTGGAGAGGGAGGAGGACAGGCAGATGGCCCATGGGTTCAGGGTTGTCCTGAACTTATGCCCTTCTTCACCCTACACCTGAGCCTGTACCCATCACCCTCCACTCTCTTGTGCCTGTGTAGCGCTGAGGCAGGGCCAGACTTTGAACTGCGCCTGGAGCTGTATGGGGCCTGTGTGGAAGAGGAGGGGGCCCTGGCCGGTGCCCCCAAGAGGCTTGCCACCAAACTCAGCAGCTCCCTGGGCCGTTCCTCGGGGAAGCGTGTCAGGGCATCGCTGGACAGTGCTGGGGGCTCGGGGAACAGTCCCATCCTGCTGCCGACCCCGGCTGTGGGGTAAGACCGAGTGCCTTCGGCCGCCGCCCATCCGTGACTGTGTCACACTGAATGGGCAGACAGTCTGGCTTAACCCTAGAGTTGGGCCTCAGTCAGTGGAGAGGCGGCAGCAACGTGGCTTTGGGGTCTTACCTGTTTAGCAGCCACAGAAACATCTTTGGGACTGGGGAATGTAGCTCAGTTGGTAAAGCGATTGCCTACCATACATGAAGCTTTGAGTGGGATGGTGCACACCTGTTACTCCAGCACTTGGGAGGTAAATTCAAAGTCATCCTCGCTGCATAGTGAGTTTATGGCCAGCCTGGTGTACATTAGACCCTGCCTCAAAACACCACACACAGGGATGGACGAAGAGACTGCCTCAGTGGATAAAGCACCTGCTATGCAAGCACGGGGCTGGAGTTCTGACCTCAGGACCCAATCCCAGTGCTCAGGCCAGAGCAGAGACATGGAGCCTCCTCTAGCTAGCAAGCTGGTTAGCTGGACTAGTGGAATTGGCAAGCTCATTGAGAGGCCTGGCCTTGGTAAATAATGTATGGAGCAATTGAAGAGGACACCTAATGTCTTTGCCTGGCCTCTAAACATATATGCACACGTGTGCCTCCCATACATTTATTATTTTGCCAAAACAAACACACACACCCACACACACACCTATGCTCTGAGTTGAGGCATGCTCTGTAGCAGAGCCCACAGTCACCTTAAGTTACTGGGATTCTGAGGAAGCCGCCTCATCTGTTGACTGACGAGCCCCCACCCTCACAGAGCTGCCATGAGAATTTCAGTGGGACAATGTATAATATAAGCGTGGGTTCGGGTGTCAGCAAACATGAAGCAAGCTGGTTGTCTGTGGCAGCTTGGCAACAGGGCTTGCAGCACGTTCCTGCCACACACCCCACCCCAATGGCGTCCCCTTCTCCCTCAGAGGTCCTCGGTATCACCTCTTGGCCCACACCACTCTAACCTTAGCAGCAGTGCAAGACGGATTCCGTACACACGACCTTACCCTTGCCAGTCACGGTGTGTATACGGGTGTGTGTTGGGGGCTCCGCCCGCCCCGCTGGGGATGGTTGTGGGGTAGTCCCCTTCTCCTTCCCCACCCTCATCCTGGGCTTCCTCTCCAGAGGAGAACCCTGCCTGGCTACCCCTGTACGGGAGCGTGTGCTGCCGCCTGGCTGCTCAGCCTCTCTGCATGACTCAGCCCACTGCAAGTGGTACTCTCAGGGTGCAGGTGAGAGGTCCCCAGGGGTGTGGAAGGACACACAGAGAAAGAGCTGGACTACCCAGGAGTAGGATGATAAAAATGAGGGTCTGGGGGGGGGGGACAAGGTCGGATGGGAAGAGAGTGGGGTGAGCACTGGGGACACGGGGTTGGTGGGGAACTGGGCTCCCTACAAGACACCAAGTCGTTTGTGCAGCAAGTTGGGGAGCTACGGAACGGGACGCTTGTGCACGGAGTCCTGAAAGGCACAAAGCTCTTTTGTTACTGGAGGTCTGAAGAAGCCGACACTGGGCAGGAACCGCTGTTTACTATCGCCATCAACAAGGTGATGAGTCCCATGAAAGTGAGGTCACCTGGTGTTTAGGCTCGGGCGGCTCTCTCCGGGCCCTAGAGAGTTGGGCTCATGCCTCAGAGACCAGAGGATGAACTTTGTTCCTAAGAGCACCGAGCTCTGCTCCACAGCAGGGCCTGGGATGCAGAGAGAGACCACCCCCCCTATCTTCCCAGGCCGGCTTCCCAGTAGTCTCTCAGCTTTCAGTTTGTAGCTGCTGATGCCTTGCTGCCCGTCTCTGCAGAGGTGCAGTTGGGCCGCTGTGCTCCCTGGCCAGTGTGGCTTTCCTGTGTGTTTGCTTTGCTTTGCTTGGTGCTGGGATCAAACTCAGACACTTGTGTGTGCTCTACCACCGCATGCACCCGGCCGCCCTGTCTGCTTTGCAAGTACTGGGTGGGCAACCCAAAGCGGGATCTTGGGAACCTCTGCCCACCTCTGCCCCTCCCTGCCTTGGTCTGTCCCTCTTTCCTGTCTCAGCCTGCTGCTCCTTCCCAGCCTCAGCTTAGGGACTTTATCCCCAGCACCCCCTTGCTGTCCCACAAATGAAGGCGATGGGTGGGCTGCCTCTCGGCCGCCACGGTAGAGGTGAAGGCCGCTCTGCTTTCTCTGGCAGGAGACTAGGGTCCGGGCGGGCGAGCTGGAGCAGGCCCCAGAGTGGCCTTTCACGCTCAGCATCAGCAACCGGTACGGAGGCGATGAGGTGACCAACACCCTCCGGGTGGAGAGCAGGGACGCTCTGCACTACTGGATGGAGGCCCTGTGGCAGCTCTTCTTTGATATGAGTGAGAGAAAGGGCCGGGCTTTCCCTCCGGGAGGGCTCGCGGGTGCGTGAAAGCAAGCTGGGGGTGTGGCTGGCGCCCGGTTTCTCCTTGCAGCCCAGTGGAAGCACTGCTGTGATGATGTCATGAAAATCGAAATCCCTGCGCCCCGGAAACCCCCACAGGCGCTGGCCAAGCAGGGGTCCTTGTACCACGAGATGGGTGAGTGCGGGCAAAGCTAGAGCGGGAGCTGGTGGGGCTGGAGTCGGGAACCTCAAGGGAGCCCAGCCAATAGAGAGCAAGCACAGTGGCGTCCCCGCCCACCCAGCCCTGCTGCTTTCCCTTTTCCTCTCCAGTTCTGAAAGCCACTTCCACCCAAGTTCCAAACAAACCCCCAAGAGCCAGGTCCATTGCAGACGTCTGTCCTAACCTTCTTTTCTGTCTCTCTGTGCATGCCGACTCCTGCCTCCTCTTCCGACCTCGCTTGTCCGGCAATGCTCTCTCTCTCCTTTTCCCCCTTGGTTTCTTTACCCACTTTTGCTCCCCACCCACCCACCCCGACGTCACAAGTCTTATCAGAGCCTGTGGCCTCAGGGGGTCCCGGTGAGGGGCTGCTTCTGCAGAATAATGCCATCTCGGCGGAGATTCGGGCCTTGCTTTCCTCCTATTACAGTGACAGGTGACAGGCAGGGCCGAGCAGGCCAGGGCTTGAGCTCTGACTAGCCCCCTCCCCTCCCCTCCCCTCCCCCCTGGTGCCACAGCCATTGAGCCGCTAGACGACATCGCAGCTGTGACAGACATCCTGGCCCAGCGGGAGGGCACAAGGCTGGAGCCGCCCCCATCCTGGCTAGCGATGTTTACAGACCAACCTGCCTTGCCTAGCTCCTGCTCACCTGCTTCTGTGGCCCCAGTCCCAACCTGGACGCAACCCCTGCCCTGGGGGCGACCCCGAACCTTTTCCCTGGATGCTGCCCCCTCAGACCGCTCCCTTGGGGCTTCTCGCTCGGTTGCACCCCTCCCCGCACAGCGATCCCCACAGTCCAGAGGCTTCTACAGCAAAAGTCAGCTCCGCACATGGCTGCAGTCCCCAGTGTGAGAGACAGACATCAGCAACAGGATCTGGCCAAGAAAGAAAACGACCCAAGGGCAACGGGGCCCTAGGTCCAGCTCTGTGGGGGCGCCGCGCGCCTCCTCTTCCTCTGCTGGACTAGGAAGGCTGGGGAGGGGTGACAGAAGCCCGTCTTAAGCTGTGGTTACCGCGGGACTGAGGGGACCACTTCTGGAGTTGGTTGGGATCCCCTAAGCTCTTCCTGGGAGAAAACTGGAACAAGCCTGCCCTACCTCCCGGCACTAACCAGCCCCGCCCCTGAGGGGGCGGCACTAAGGAGTGGGGAGGAAAGCACCTCCCTTGTGACGTCATTAAAGTTATTTAACAGCTAGCTGCCTTCGCTTGGTCTGAGGCCCAGTGGCTCCCGTGTGCTCCCTCCTCCCTCCTCCCTGGAGCTTGCTGTTTAGAAGTGTGGCTGCAATAGTGAGCGGTCAGACAAGGGCTTGGTGGAGGAATACTTTATAAATACCAGGGGAGAAGGGAAGTGTGTCCTCGCTCAGACACTGCTGAATCTCAGGATCTCAGCAAGGTCATAGCCCGTCACCGCAAAGGAGCTGCCCGATGGGTCACAGAACCGAGCGCCACACAGCTGGGTGTCAGAAATACATTCACCGTGGCAGTGTTCAACCTGCAGTGGGGAATGGTGGTCAGTTCTGTTGCCCACTCTATGCTGGGGTACCCTGGGTCCCCATTCCCGCCCTTCCGCGGACATACCCCAATGGAGCCACTCTCTGGGTCCCTGTTCAGCTTCCAGATTTGCACAAAGGTATCTTCAGCTGCAGAGAGTAGCTAAAAGAGAGAAGGCCGGGAGTCAGAACGCCCTGACAGGCTGGGTGTGGGCTGGGGTGCCACCTGGGAATGTTGTCACACTGAGTATGGAGACAAGCCTGTGCTGTGCTTCTAAGCAGCAGGGTAAGTACTTAGGGATGCAGGAAACTGACCTTGCCCACTTCTGGAGCCAGGTCCAGGGCACAGATGGTCCGGGCGTGCGCACTGATCTGGACGTGGAGTGCTCCTGTACTGGCATCATACAGACGCACTTGCCCGTTCCCATACCCCGCTGCCACAATCCCCTGCCACAGCTGCACAGAGGGGCACGGGACCCTGCGAGGGCGATGTTCACTTTTGGTTTCTCCAGACCCCAGCACACTCCCCGCCCTCACAAAGGCCACACCCTTTTCTGCCTCTCCTACCCGAAGCCTGGGATTCGGTTCAGTAATGTGAACACAGTTCCTGACCTCCAGACACACAGAACTCCTGAGTCATCGGCTGTCACCATGTCAGCAACACCATCCTGAGGAGAAGGTCGGGGTCAGCTTTTCCCTTTACAGTTTGTGTGGTCCAGAGCACAGGGCAGGAGGGGAAGTGAACCCATGTCTGCCTCTTTGCTTCTACAGGGAAAGGGCAAGAGGTGGGTCCTTCACCAGCTCAGGGTACCAGACACTCCTCCCAGAGTCCCTAAGCACAGGCCCCTTGTAGGCCCCCCCATATACATACATACATATACATACATACATACATACATACATATATGTCTCCAAACCGCCACCTCCCCTGTCCCACCATGGAGCAGAAGAGGATGTATAATTATCCCTTTGGGACAGGCAACAGTGTTGAAGCTAGCATCCCCTGGCTTTTCTGGAGGGTTTGTAATGAGCCAATCACAGTCACAACTAGTCCCTAGGTCCCCTGACCCGACCACGGCAGGCAAATCAGGTTCAGTGAAGGAAACAAATTATAAACCCCACACCCTGTTTTCAAGAGGTTGACAGTCGAAGTGGGGAAAAAGAGTTTTCCATGAGGGCGGGGCCTAGTCAGAGGGAAGCTGGGGGGAGGGGTCTGGACTAGGGTTACAGATTTCTGGAAAGGCCAGCCCTGGAGCTGGGTCACTAGCTCAAGTCCAGAGTAGGAAGCCACAGCTGTCAGTGTTGGGAATGGTTGGCTCCAGCTTCTGGATTCACACCAGCACTGGACGGTGTTAGTGATGTTTACAGAACACTTAATGTAAAGTATGCTTTTCTCCAGACCTGAGGTTGCTACATCTAAGACCCCAAAGCCACACGGTGGCAGAGCTAAGACCCAAATGGTGAGAACAAGTAAAGGAAGTGTACCCACCTGACCCTGGGCACGCTCAGTGGCAATGTCTGTGATTGGTGTCTGGTGTCCAGCCAGCTCCTCATTAAGTACAATGTTGGGACCCTTAGCAGGGATGTCAAATACCAGGATCCGACCCGACCATGTTCCTGCAGCCAGAACCAGCATCCCACTGATGGCTTCCTGACCCCCCCTGTCGTCTCCAGTCACCACAGTTAACCCTTTCTCCACCCTGCAAGTCTTAGTAATAAACTCAGTGCTCCCAAGCCTTGACTTTCTATTCACTACCCCTCCCTCTGACACCGTCCCCTCCCCCACCTTCCCCCAACCCTTCACGACTTTGTCCTGGCTGTGCCTCATAGACCTTAATGGGCTGCTCTTAGTCCTCTCACCCACACAGATGAAGTGAACACTGGCAGCAATTCCTCGGGCAAACGTAGCCTGCGCTGAATACAAAAACAGCTCTCAGAAACAGCTCTCCCTCCAGCCCCAGCGAATTCTCCCAGCCTCCGCCCCTCTCCACTCGCTCCTCCAGGTACCTGAGGAAGCATCTCCTGAATCCAAGGCATGCCAATAGACCATGAGGGAGCCGTCAGACTCATACATCTGGAAGACAGGGGCAAGGGCGGAGCGTGATCCAGCTGACCCTTGCCGAGCTCTGGGCCCGGCACTTCACACAGCCATGGTAGCCTGAGTCCGTGTAATCTTCAGACTTGTTCTTATCCCCAGTTTTCAGGACACCGAGGCTGTGTGTGCCCAAGGTCACAGAGTTATTGAAGGAGGCAGATGGCTGAAGTGGCAGTTGGAGAGTGAAGACAATGGAAAATCAGAGAAACATGGGAAGTTTGGAAGTGTTTATTCAGAGGGGACTGGGAAGGGGGTGGGGACAGAAGCGGGAGGGGAGGAGAGATCTCTTCTTACCTGTATCCTTCGATGTGAGGTGAGAACCAGCAGCACTCTGAAGGGGAGAACACACCAGTGGACCTGGAGAGACGTACATCACCGTGGAGGGCATAAAGCATCAGCAGGGTTTAAAGAACCAAGCTGGAGCTGACTTAAGCCACACCTCTTCGACTCCCAGCCTCACCTGGGTGATGAGCGGAGGGCTCACTCCAACGCCTACTTTGATTTGGAGTTGGCGCTGGGCCAAGGGCATACCCTCAGGGGCAGAGCTCAGAATCTGGGCGCTCGGCCCGTGGACCACTCCAAAATGCATGAGGTCGCGGGCTGGAAGCTGCAGCACACTGAGGTTGTTAGGCAGGGCGGCGGCAGAGCCCCGAAGTGGGATGGAGCGCTCGCGGCGGTACATCCTGGGAGAGAGATACCAGAGTCACAGGAGAGAAGGCCACCGGCGGCATCTGGCCAGGAGAAAAGAAGGGTAATGAGATGCAATCGTGAGACACTAAGAGAGACCCTTGATTGACGGGTTCAACGAGGAAAGTGATGGCAAATAGCCACAAGGAGGAGAGGATCCCACGGAGCAGGAGAGAGCCCCAGAGTTGAGTATTGCAGCCACCAGGAAGAATGGTGATGGAAAGACCGGGTAGTACCGAGCGCACCAGCTTTAAACAGAAAGAGCCCTCCAGCCCTCCCTCCCACAGCGTGGTTACCTGAAGGTCTACACAAAGGTAGGCGGCCACACCACCTTCAACCCCGTCCACCCTCACCCCCTGGTCTGTCTTGCCTGACGCTAGGATCCTCAGGTCCCTCTGAATCCGCCGCCACCATAGAGACGACGCACTGACGCACGGCCTCTGGGCGGGGCCTGTGGCTGGAACGGGCGGCGCGCGGCGCAGTTGCCGAGGCAACCGTGGACCGCGCCTGAGACCCTCGGGGCTGCCTGGTTGCCGAGGCGACCGTTGGGCTGCAATCGCGGCGGCTGCAGAAATGGAGGGTCCTGGAGGCAGCTGAAACACCGCGTTGGAGCGACTGTCGCGACAATGTCACACGAAGGCTCGGTGAGCTTCAGCTGAACTGGGGTTGGCCGGTGTGTAGAGCTGTGGACCAGCTCTGGGTTCAAGATAGGCATGGCGTGCCTCAGTTTCCGTGGTAAAGGGCCAACGGCTGCACCGGGTCAAGAACACGCGAATTCGGAAACAGCTGACCTGTTAGTGCAAGTAGTAACTCATTTATGCCGAGAAACCCGTTTTGGTGGGTAAAACCACAAAGAAATCCTGTTGACAGTTTCAGGACCAGGAAATGGATTAAACATTTCAGAGGCTGACCTTAAACATTTCAGAGGCTGACCTTAAGGTTAATTTGCTGTATTGTCATTATTTATTTATTTATTTATTTAGACACAGAATGTGACTATGTAGACCAGGCTGGCCTTCAGCTCTAGAGATCAGCCTGCCTCTGCCTCCAGAGTGCTGGGATTAAAAGCATGGGTTACCATGGCTGGCCTGGACTTCACTATGTAGATCAGGTTACCCTTGAACTCATAGCCTTTGCCCATACCAACACCCTCCTGTCCCACTGTCAAAAGCCAAATTATTTAAGTTAAGAAAAAAGTATTATATGCGTATGTATGGGTGTTTGGACTTCATGTGTGTTTGTGCACCCTGTTGGTGCCTGACACCTGCAGAGAGCAGGAGAGGGCACCGGGTTTCCTGGAACTGGAGGTACAGTTTTGAGCTGTCAAGTGGGTGCTGGGAACCAAAACCAGGGCCTCTGGAAGAGCAGCCAGTGCTCTTAGGTCCTGAGCCATCTCTCCCTACCAAAGTCAAGACATTGAAAATAAACTAAAGCGGACCAGAAGGACCTTACGGAGAGGAAGGAGTGAGTAAGATCTGTCCTCCTCTGTGAGCTGCACACCCCATCTTTGTTAGATGCGAGGCTGGGAGGACACACCAAAGGGGTCAGTTCTTTGGGATCTAAAGGTTTAGGCTGAGCATAAGGGAGTACAGCTTTAATCCCAGCACTTGGCAGATGGTCTCTGGGAACTTAAGGCCAGGGGTTAGGAGGGTAGGGAAAGGGAGACTCCCACATGGCCTGGGAGGATGAATATTAGGAAATATAAAATGGCAAAATAAGATTGGAGGTAAGTAGGTAGGTACAGGTTTCTATTTGGAGGTAAGTTTTGGAAGGAACCATCTCCTTCATTGTCTCTCTTTGTAGCCCAGTCTGGAGGTCATGGCAGATGTCCTGTTTTAGGCTCCTGAATGCTGGGTGTACTTGTATAAGTCACCACAACGGCTCTGGTCATCTTTACAAATTTTTATTACTCATCTACATCTCTCTTTTTAAAAAGTAATTTATTTATTCTTATTTTATGTGCACTGGTGTTTTGCTTGCATTTATGTCTATGAGAGGGTGTCAGATCTTGGAGTTATAGACAGTTGTGGGTACTGGGAATTGAACCCAGGTCGTTTGGAAGAATAGTCAGTGCTCTTACCCACTGAACCATTTCTCCAGACCATCTACATCTCTCTTGTGAAATATTTTTACCTTTGGGGTTGCCTTAGTAACTCTTCTGTTGCTGTGAAACAAAACAAAACCCACCATGAGTAAAGCAACTTATAAAAGAGTTTAATTTGGGACTTACAGTTCCAGAGGGTTAGACTCCGTGGCCATCATGATGGCGAGCATGGTTGTAGGCAGACAGGCAATGGCGCTGGAGCAGTAACTGAGAGACCCCATCTGAGACAATTACAAGGCAAATAGAGCTAACTGCAAATGATGGGCTTTTGAAACCTCAAAACCGGCCCCAAGTTATTCACTTCCAACAAGGCTGCACCTCCTAACCCTTCTCAACTGTTTCACAACTAGGGATCAAGCATTCACATAGATGAGCGTTTGGGGGCTGTTCTTATTCAGCCCATCACAGGGTTTTGTTTTGTTTTGTTAATAATTCTTATTTGTTTATTTTGTTTTTGGGGGCCAAGGTTTCTCTGTAGCTTTGGAGCCTATCGTGGAACTTGCTCTGTAGATCAGGCTGGCCTCGATGACCTCAAACTCACGAAGATACACTTGCCTCTGCCTCCCACGAGCTGGGATTAAAGGAGTGTACCAGCATTACTTGGCCTTTAATGATTTTTTTTTAAAAATTTGGTGTGTGTGTGTGTGTGCGCGCGCGCTTGCGCGCCATGGTGCATGGATGGAGGTTGGAGAATGACTTGTAGGAGTTGGTTCTCTTTCTACCTGTGGTCCTGGGAATCAAACTTTGGTCATTAGACTTGGCAGCAAGCACCTTTGCTTAGTCATCTCACCAACCCTCATTTTATTGCTCTTTATTTTTAAAAGGTCATGTTTTTCTTTTTTATATTTTTTGTGAATATCTTTATTTGGGAAGCAAATCTGGATATGAATTCTAACCATACTACTTCCTGCGTGTGACCTTAGGCAAACTACATAAAATGGAAGTAAAAATAATGGTTAAAGATGGTCTAGAGCTGGGCGGTGGTAGAGCACTCCTTTAATCCCAGCACTTGGGAGGCTGAGGCAGGCGGATGTCTGTGAGTTTGAGGCCAGGCTGGTCCACAGGGAGATTTCCAGGACAGATAGGATTACATAAAGAGACTCTGTTTCAAACAGACAAAAAGTACAGAGGTCTAGGGATTTACCTAGTGATAGTGAGCATGTACAACGCCTTGGATTCAATCCCCAGAACTACAACACATACAAAAAAGGCAACAAACAAACCAAACACAAGGTGTCACATTCCTATAATCCTAGGGTTTGAGAAGCAGAGGGGAGAATTGCTAAACGTTTGAGGCGTGCCTAGTCTATGTAGCAAGTTCCAGGGCAGCTACATAATAAGACTGTTCCAAACAAACAAAAACAGGGGAGACTAAGTACTAGTGACCCCATGGACTCACAGATTCAAGTTTTTTGAACTCTCAAGAACTTGAACACTCCAGTAAGGCAAATAGCAAGAGCTGTAAATTGAGCATGATTAGGTTTGCATCCAAACTTCTGTAAAGTATCAGTTTTCTTGCTTAGTGGGCTGTTAAGTATTATTGAGTCGAATACCTTCAAAGTGTACCTTCGCTGCATCGCAGACTTGAGGTACCTTGTCCTGGCCCCCTTTCTTAGTAAACATCTTGAAAAAGCCCATCAGTCCCATCCCGTAGGCTTCCTATCCTGAGTGCCCGTTTCATTCCCACAGAGGCAGGCGCGAGACCGTGGAGTGACCCGCTCCAAGGCTGAAAAAGCCCGGCCGCCCACCCAGCCGGTGCCACAGGTGGACATCGTGCCTGGGCGGCTCAATGAGGCAGAATGGATTGCGTTTATGTCCCTGGAGGAGGGCGAGGACGTAGTAGGTGACATCCTGGCCGACCTTCTGACTCGAGTCATGGATTGTGCCTTCAAAGTCTACCTGACCCAGCAGGTGGGCCTAGATCTGGGACTTCCAGACCCATCTTCTACCTCTCCTGTCTCTTCTGGCAAGGCTGAGACCCTCCCTCGCTTTCACAGTGCGTCCCATTCACCATTAGCCAGGCCCGAGAGGCCATGCTGCAGATCACTGAGTGGCGATTCCTGGCCCGGGATGAGGGAGAATCTGCAGTGGTCGAGGACCCCACGTGGGGCGAGGACGAGGAGCCCCTGGCATGCACCACGGATGCCTGGGCCCAGGGCTCCGTGCCTGTACTGCACGCACCGGCACCCGTTGGTGTAGAGGAGCACTTCCAAGGCGAAGTAAGCCCAAGCCCCCAGCCTCCTTCTGACAGAAGCCTCCTCCGGAGCCGCTCAGGACCATGAAATGAGGTCCTTCCCCTCCCCTTCCGACATCTCATTACCCTTGTGTGTTTCCCCAGGAACCTGGGAACCCGGACCAGTTCCTTTTAGGTTCACCGTGGTTGGACAGAGACTCCCAGGAGCCAACAGCATCTTCAGAGCCTTCTACCCAGACAAGAGGCATCCCAGGATCCACGCCCACCTTGGAGATGTTTCAGGAAGCTGAGCCCGGGGATACCTTGGAAGAACCCCACGGCCAGGAGCAAAGCCACATCTTGGCCACATCTTTAAAGGAGCCTAGCCACAACTTGACCGTGCCTTCGTTGCAAGTGGTGCGCTCCCACAGCCCCCAGTGTTGCCTGGATCTGCCCCAAGTAGTCAGCCTCCAGGCCTCTGAGAAGGGATCATCCCTCAGCTCCCATCTGTCCCTTGAGGATCTTTACACCTGCGTGCCTCAGCCTGACGCGGCAGGGGACCGGCTGAAACGCGAAAGGAAGAGCGCGTCCAGCGCCGCCTCCAACTGGTCTGTGCCCCTCCTCAGTGCGCTCACTGTAGAAAATCCCTCCTGGTCTCCGCAGCCAGAAGGCTTGGATACTCCGCAAAACCGCAAGACGCCCATAGTGCGCCTGGACCCCGCGCGGTTGCCGCGCCACTGGGTGCGCCCTGTGGCCGAGGTCCTGATCCCGGACACCGACGCACGCCCTTTGGAAATATATCGCGGGCGCCCGAGGGCTGAAAAGAGCCAAGCTGGGGTCCGAACCTCAGCAAGCCGGTCCCAAGCCCTCGGCTTGCGCACGCACCCCAAACTCCACGTCTCTACCTCAAGGTTCCCTCTCCAGTATTACGCTCCATTCCGTGCTCTGGGCCCGGATCCCACTTTAAACTTGGCCCAATCCTCACCAACCTTCGGATCAAAGTTACCATTCCTCAGCCCCGGGTTCCGCTTCCTCGTCAGAAACCCAATCCCTCCCGAAGTCTCCCGCACCCCCACTCCCAAGTTATGGCCTCGAGCTAAGTGGCCGAGCGGCTGGGAGAGGGAGGCTGAGCAGCTGGGCGAGCTGTGGGCGGGTCGCACTCGCGTGTCTGCACAGGGCCAGGAACCCGCTGCTGATGACGCCTCGGACGACTCTGGATGGCCCCTGGCGGCGCCCCAGGTCCTCGAGGCCACGTCCCAGATTCTGTGGAAGCCCATGGTTATTTCCGAAACCATGAAGCTGGTTCCTGGTGTGAGTATGTGGAACCGGGGCACGCAGGAGCTGCTCAGCCCTGCTGCCATCCAGGATGAGGCTGAAGGAGGAACCTCCCGCGCGGCTGAGCAGCAACCCATCCAGACAGGTGTGTCCAAGCCCCAGGTGATTATGACACACCTCTTAAGGAAGGAAACCCCCAAAGCCTGGCTACTCCCAGCCAAACCTGTGCCCCACTCTGGGTCCTGAGCCTCCACACACTGGGAATCGAACCCTGCCCAAAATAAACTTGCCTTGCCACAGGAACTGACTAGCAAGGTGGTGCCATTTCTTCCAAGGCTGTCCATCCTCTAACTGGTCTCCAGGGGGCACCGTTGTCATTAGCCGTAGGAGACACGGAAGCATTGTAGACACACCCCTGCCCCCTGAAACACACCTTACAGGAGAAGATATGAGACTGTAAGGGGCCGGATGGGGACGGGGTGGGATGGGGGATTGGGTATCTGGCTCCGGGGAGAACTTTGCCCTTTCAATAGGAAAGGCTTATAAGCATAGAGTGATTCCATACATGAATTCAGCCTGCTTTCCTGACTCCTGGACTTTAGTCAGCTCATCTTGGATTGAAAATTCCATTCTTTTCTATTGCGTTTTGCTCCTTTGTTTTGGGAATTGAACCTAGAACTTTGCATGTGCCAGGAAAAGATTGTGTCATACTGACTTACAGGTAAAACACTCATACATATCCAATAAATCGTAAACAATTACAACATACACACAAATCTGCTCATGTGACATTGTCCTGTGTACCCTATAGTTGCACAACACGCAACAGCAAAAGATTAGAAGCAGGGCCCGGAAGATGGCTCAGCCAGTAAAGTACTTACTATCACAGCAAAACCAAGCATTGAGGCCCGAGTACAAGTCCTGTCATCCTATACTAGCGCCTGTAAGCCCTGCACTGTGCAGGCAAGTAGATGGGAGGATCCCTAAAGCTGCTGGTCAGCCAGTCCAGCTAAAACTGATGAGTTCCAGGTTCAGTAAGAGTTCTTGTGTCAAAAAAATAAGGTAGAGAATGGCTGAGGAGGGCACCTAGGTCAACCCCTGACCTCCCCCCCTCCACACCACACACACGCACACACACCACACACACACACACGCACACACACCACACACACACACACACCACATACACACACACACACCACACACACACCACACACACACACACACCACACACACACACACACACACACACACACACACACAGAGCTAGAAACAAAGTAATCAGAGGAATCCAGTTAGTAAATTATGTCTATCCACAAATGAGGACCTCCTTCTGTAGCCAAGTCTGGCTATCAGGCCATGGATGGCCTTGAACTCTGGGATTACAGACAGCAGTTTGTATGACTAGGAAAGTTCCCCCACCCCCATTTGAATTTGATGGGTCAGTGATAGTTAAGAGTACTTATCCTCTTCCAGAGGACCTGGGTTCAATTCTCAGCACCCACATGGCAGTTCAGCTCACAAACTTCTCTAACCCCAGGTCCAGGGGAGCCTCTTTTGGCCCTGTATGCATGTGCCTAGTGTACAGACATACCATACAAACAGGCAAAACACTTGTACACATAAAATGAATAAATCTTACATAAAAGGCTCCAGGTTTTATTTAGGAGAAAAGTCAGAATGTTATATATACTATACTACCCTTTGCATAAGAAATGGAAGGAGTGAGACTCTGTTCATACGTGATTGTACTTAAATAAAACATCTAAACTGGGCGTTAGTGGTGCACGCCTTTAACCTCAGCACTCGGGAGGCAGAGGCAGAGGCAGGTGGATCTCTGTGATTTTGAGGCCAGCCTGGTCTATAAGAGCTAGTTCCAGGACAGGCACCAAAGCCACAGAGAAACCCTGTCTCAGAAAAACAAAACAAAAAACAAACAAAAAAATCTAGAAGATGAGCGAGAAACTAAGTACCTGTAGCGGGCAAGGAGGGTGGGCTAGATTGGAACAAAGGTAAAAGGGACGCTTCTCAGTGCATACTCATACTTTTTTTGGGGGAGGGTGATAAGACAGAGTTTCTTTTTTATCTTTTTCTCTTGGTTTTTCAAGACAGGGCTTCTCTGTGTAGTCCTGGCTGTCCTGAAACTCATTCTTTAGACCAGGCTGTCCCAAATTCAGAGATTCAACTGCCTCTGCCTCCTGAGTTTTGTTTGTTTTTTGTTTTGTTTAGTTTTGTTTTTTTAAATTGAGACAGGGTCTTACTTTGTAATCCAGCTGGCTGGGAACTTGCTAAAACAACAGATTGGCCTTGAACTCACAGACAACAAACTTGCCCCTTCCTTTAGAGTCCTGGGATCAAAGGCATATGCCACTGTGCCTGGCTTAGTATTAATTTGATTATTGTATTTTATTTAGTTGTGTGTGGTGGTGGTGGTGTGTGTGTGTGTGTGTGTGTTGTGTGGTATGAGGTGTGAATGTGTGTTTGGTGTGTGTGGTGTGTGTGTGTGGTGTGAATGTGTGTATGGTGTGTGTGTTGTGTGTGTGTGGTCAGTTCTCTCCCATTTTTATGTGGGTTCCAGGAATCACACTCATCTTGTCAGTATTCTGTGGCAAGTTCCTTTACCAGCAGAGCCATTTCACAGGTTCTAGCTTGGTCTTTGAATGATGGGAAGTCAGTGTATGTTCAGAATAACTGGAAATATTTAGAAGATGAAATGGGAGTGAAGAGGAACTCTAGTAGAGGTGTCCATGTTCTAGACCCGTCGCTGATAGTCTAATTTTACAAATAAGGAAATGGATAAGTACTCAGCCCAGGATTTCCCTCCGCTAGTACACTGAAGGTAGAACCGGGACCCCTCCGTGAAATCTCTCTCTCTGTCTGTCTCTGTCTCTCTCTCTCCCTCTCTCTCCTGCGCAGTTGAGCAATCCTTCCTTCATGGCTGGCTGTAGATACCTTTGTACACTTGTATAATCAGTCCTCCTTGGTACCCTAGGCTGCTCTGGGACTTGGGCTGACCTCCCTGCCTTATCCTTTCTAGTACTGGGTTATCTAGTTTTAACAAGCCAATAAACAAACACTCAAAAGCTTGCAAAGAGGCATCGAAGACAAAGTCTTGGCGACGCTGAGACTTCGTATGGTGCTGATATCTTGGCCCTGGCCAGTTCAGTTCTGGGGATGAGGAGCAGGTGTGGAGGGACTAGAAAAGGTGTGGGCATCGGAGTTTTACTCTCTTCCCGGACTCGGACTCGAAACAAACTCCCAAGACGTCCCTGGGTCCTCCGCCGCTAGAGGGCGCCCGCGCCGCCGCGCCGTGGTCCTTGCCGTGGTCCTTGCCGGACTTCCCAGGAGCAGTGCGCGTGCGCCCGCGTGCAGCCGGCCGCAGGTGTCTAGCCCAGTGCCTCATCGCGGTCGTTCTTGCCCCGCTCGGCGTGGCCTCGCCAGCCAGGGCGGGGCTGCAGGAACAAGGGGACTGTACCCAGGACTCAGAGTCCCCGGGCCCCTAGGGCTCCGTGGGTCGCCGCGGGGTCGGGCCCCGCGCTGGGCAGCCCGCGGGGCGGGGCGGGGCGGGGCGGGGCCGTAGGTCCCGGGCGGCGGCGGCGCAGAGCCGGGCGCGGAGCCCTGACAGCAGGTAAGCCGTGGCGACCCCGCCAAGTGTCTGCCGGGCGGCGGCGGGGCTTGCGCGCAGCGGGCGGGGGCCCGGAGCTCAGGCCAGGCCGGGTGGGGTGGGGTGGGGGGTGGCGGGCGCCCCGACGGCCGGCCGGGCGCGGCCCAGGCCCGGGAGCGCGTCTCCCAGGCTTGCTCGCCAGCCTGCAGCTCTGCAAGGGGCCCCGCTCGCTCCGACCCAGGTTTCCTGTGGACACGTGCTTGGGAATGTGTGTTAAACGAAGGCAAAAAAATAACCCTAGAGGGTTCAGACGTGGGGTCTGGAAATGCGTTTGTTGTGTGACGCCCTGCCCCGAGCGAGGTCCCACTAGGGTGGCAGGGTGATCGCTGTGAAGTCGTCTTGTTCATACACCTTCTTTACCGTGGGCTGGGCAACCGCAGAGCACGCTGATGAGAACTGCTGCGTTGAAGGCGGCGCATGGGAACCGAACTCTCATTTATAGCAGCTCGGAGAGCAGCAAGCGCCTGTTGGCCGCTTGGTACCCACCCTAGTGTACTTAAGAGTCTGGAGATGGCATTCTTAGCCTACTATGCTGCCAAAGCCCGAACTGCACTGCATTTAAGGAGATAAGGATAACTTTAAAAAAGAAAAAGTGTATGAGTGTAGGTCCCCACAGAAACAGAGATGTCCGACCCCGGCAGCTGGAGTTACAGCCGCTTGTAGGTCCTCTGTAAGAGCTGTAGGTGCCCTTAACTGATGAGCCACCTCTTAGCCCTCTGCATTCATATATGCTTGAAAGTTTGTGGTTCAAGTTTTCTCAACTACAGATTCAGAACTTTTAGTGTGCTTATTCATCAGGAGTCCACAACTAGGGTATATGTGGAGAAATTGCCGAAATAGACTGGGAGATACCGGGTTTTGTTTCTTTGCTTGTTTTGCATTTGGTCGTGCCTCTGCTTAACGTGTGGTGCAGTTTGGGAAATGAAGTTCTAGAAATAGGAGCCCACCATTGTAAAGGGGCAGTGTGTGCCAATGGTTTTTTACTTTAATGGGAATGTGTTTATTTGATAGGGTCTGGGGGAAATGCAAATCTAATCCATTCTGCATCTGTAACAGGTTCCCAGGTGCCTGCTGGTCTGGGGCCAGGTTCTTAGTAGCAGATCACTGAGCTGGCCAACACGCTTTGCTGACTGCTATGTAGAACAATCTGCCCCGTGGGTCATTCACTTTGTCCAGACCTTAAAACAGGGGTCAGGACCCCTCAGCCCCTCTTATCTCAGTGGTGGGCTCTAACCCAGTTGGTTACCTTTGTGCCGGTTGACTTCCATATATGATGCTCTTGTTAGTTTGGCAGGCTTTGCAATTAGGTTAGAGATACACACATACACATACATACAGAGAGGCAGCTGATGAGCCAGAAGCCCCGAGGACAGACAGGTCCGGTAGTTTGAGCTATCAAGCTCCCAGAGAAATGCTGACTCAGGCTAAAGTTTGAGAACTGCGCGTTTGAGCCAGTGTACCCCACTTCTGAGAGAAACCACGACCCCAGACTGAAGTCACGCATATATGCACACTTTCTGTATTATGTGCAAATGTAACACGGGTAGTAAGACAGACCGTCTACTGAAAAAACAGTAGGGAAATAACTAAATACTTGGTTTGAACTTAAAAAAAATTTTTTTAAATTTATTTTATGTGCATTG